CCTTTCTGTAGTGCAGGGCCCAAAACTGGACACAATACTCCATATGTGGCCTTACTAGTGTTGAATAGAAGGGAATACGCACTTCCTTTAATCTTCTGGTAACACTTCTACTGATGCAGACCAGTATGCTGTAGTTGAAGGCTGCTTCTTCACAACAAGGGTACACTGTTGGCTCACATTAAGCTTATATTGAACCTCATGAGATTTCTTATGGTCCAATCCTCCTATCTCCCTAGGTCTCTCTGAATCCTAGTCCTACTTTCCAGTGTATCTACTACTCCCCACAGCTTGATGTCATCTGCAAGCTTGCTGAGGGAGCACACCATCCTATCTTCCAGGTCATTGATGAAAATATTGAACAAACCTGGCCCCAGGACCAATCCCTGGGGCACTCCATTTGGGCTTCCCTCTAGACATTGTGCCATTGATTACTATCCTGTGAGCCTGATGATCCAGCCAGTTTTCTATGCACCTTATAGTCCATTTTTTCAACCTGTACTTCCTTAGCTTGCAAGAATGTTCTGGGAGTCTGTATCAAAAGCCTTGGTAAAATCAAGATATAGCACATCTACTACTTTTCCTGAATCCACAGAGCCAGTCATCTCATCACAGAAGGCAATCAGGTTGGTCAGGCACAGCTTGCCCTTGGTGAATCCATGCTGACTGTTCCTAATCATCTTTTTCTCCTCCAAGTGCTTAGAAATGCATTTCTTGATGGCATGCTCCATGATTTTTCCATTGACAGAGGTGAGACTGACTGGTCTGTAGTTTGCTGGATCCTCCTTCTTCCGTTCCTTAAAGATGGGCACATATTTGCCCTTTCCCAATCATCTGGGACCTCTCCCATCACTGTGAGTTTTCAAAGACAATGGCCAGAGGCTCTGCAGTCACATTGACCAACTACCTCAGCACCCTTGGGTGCATCACATCTGGGCCAATGGATTTGTACACATCTAGCTTTTCTAAAGAGTTCTGAACTTATTATTCTGCCACAGTTGGCTGCTCACTTCTCCAAACTGTGCTGCCTGGTGCAGTAGTCTGAGAGCTGACCTTGTCTGTGAAGACAGGTGAAAAAGGCACTGAGCACTTCACCCTTTTCTGCATTCTCTGCCACTAGGTTGCCTCCCCCATTCAGTAAAGGACCCATTTTCCCTGATCTTCCTCTTGTTGACAGACTTGTAGAAGCCTTTATTGTTACCCTTCATGCTAGCTGCAGCTTCAGTTGCATTTTGGACTTCCTGATTTCATCCCCACATGCCCAAGCAATACTCTTATACTCCACCCTAGTTGTTTGTCCAAGTTTCCACTTCCTATAAGCTTCCTTTTTTTGTTTTACCTCACTGAAGTGCTCTCTGCTATACCAAGCTGGTCTTCTGCCATACTTCCTGCACAATGGGATGGTTCATTCCTGTGCTCTTAATAAGGTTTCTTTACAATACAACCAGCTCTCCTGGACTACTTTCCCCCTCAGACTGGCCACCCTTGGGTTCCTGCCCATCAGTTCCCTGAGTGAGTCAAAATCTGCTTTTCTGAAGTCCAGGGTACTTCCTCAGTGGCTCTACTTCCTTCCTTATCACTTGCACCAGGGCAAGGAAGAGTTAGACCCATCGGATGCAGTCCTGTATCCTTATCTCTTATAAGGCAAATTCCAGTCAATTAAACTGTGAATAAAAGTTACTGGATAGGTTGCTAAATATTGAAAGAAAATAAATTTTGAAAAGGTATTTTAGCAGTGCCTGTCAGTGTAAAAGTATTTCAGTTCAAGGAATGAAGATGTTGTTTCTCTCAGTGGAGCTGTCATCTTATTGATAGGGAATTGCACTTCCCAGCCTCAGGCAGACTAGGAGTGAGAAAATGTTGGTTCCATTAGATACCACACTCAGGCAACTTCAGAACTGTTTTCAGGTAAAATCTATAGTTAATAAAACTAAAACCACAACAAAAAATCTTTTAAGTCTGTTCTAACAGGGATACTATTTTTCATTCACTTTTGAACCCCCATACTTCCCAACTGAAGTTGCTAGATGATGAAGCTGAACCATAGCATCTTATAAAACAATGGTAACTGGTGAATAATTTTGACATTACCTTTTCCTTATTCTTGTTCTTGTCTTCCTTTTTTAATAGCTAAAACTTTAAACTTCAACATTCACAAATATTCCAATAGAACTGTCAGCGTTCACGGCAATATCAAATATCCAGCAATGTGAATGAAAATCAGTGGAAAATTTCAAAGTTAAACCTGATTGATTTTTATGCCTCGTTCTATTCCCCTTTGAGTGTTCTACGTGCAAATACTATATTCTTTGTTGTTTTATTATACATGTATAAAGAGTAATGAAAATACATGTTCAATAAACTGTGTGAACTTGAATCAGGTTTGATGTCCAATTGCTACTGAGGATATGGTGAAAATGAAATATAGAGCCATTTTTTTAAAGATAACCAAGCAGATTTTCTTTTTGTTCTAAAGAAATGAAAAAGGAAACAAAGAAAGATAAAAGAAGAGTATTGATTCACTTGAGATTTTTCCACTTTTATGCTAATAATATAGGTATCCATTTTATCCTCAACAAACCCCATTAGGGAGCTGGGACACAAGAAAGAAGTGATTTTATTCTTGAAGCTTTTCTGCTAATAGGAAAGGTCAATATAGACAAATTAAAATTTCTACTACAGTAGAAACTTCAATCAAAATGCAACTTCAATACCAAAAAATTAATGAAACTGTCAACATAAATAAAATTGAATTTATTTTTTTGGCTAAATCCTAAGGGTATAAAAGCATTCTGATTTCTCTCTGCATTCCAATAAGCTGCAGGCAGTAATTATCAGAAATTTTTGCTTATAATTTTCTCAATATGTACTATTGGGTATGAATAGCCTGTTTTTACTGTTACTCTTTCAGAATGCTTAATTGTTCAAAAAAGAAAAAGGCATTTAAATTAATAGAACCATATGTGAAAAAGACATATTACTTCATCTACTGCATCTCTCTTGTAATACACTACTCTTCCCAACATATACTAGGTCTTGTTCCCTGATACAGAGGGTTTTATTCAGTCCAGATGTACAATGGTCAATACTGGCAGTCCCATAACTCTGAGAGATTATGTTAAGAGACACTGATGTGTAGCTAAATGGTAATGTTTTGAACTGCAAAGAAATGACTCTGAATGAAATCACAGCTCCATTAGAATCAATGGATATTTGGTCTTGACTTCAGCAAGGCCACATTTTCTCCCTACATCTCCAGTGCTGTAGCCCAGGAAGAGCTCCATTTAATCTTATCCAGAACAGGAAATACTGGTAAGGTAGAAGGCAAGGTAAAATGGCTCCTTATAAACAAATTATTTTAGACAGTCACAAGCTTTCCTAAGCAACAGCTTGCCTTGTCAGGTGGTCTGAATGGACCTGCAAGGAGCAGGGATTCTACATAGAAAGCAGTCATTTAAATACAAAGAATAGGGAAAGGGAAATGAAAGGGGGCACCACTGAGGAAGGCAGGGCAGTAAACAAAGTGATAAAACCACAGATACATAGCAGTTATAAAAGCTAGCCCACGTGACAGAATAAGAATCCATAGTCTGCTTATGCCATGCTTAACAAAATCTAGTCTGTGGGTGATTTGTTCTGCAATTTCACATTTTTAAACTTTTGTTTTTAAGTTATATTGTAAAGTTTTGTTGTCTTAAGAACAGCTACTCTGAGGTCAGCGATTGAATGTGTAGGGAGGTTAAAATGTTCTGCCGGAGGCTTTTTGTTCCTTCTGGAATTGATGTCTGAGTGATGTCCATTCATTCTGTCACATAGGGATTGTCTGTCTGTCCAATATAAACACGAGTGCACTTCAAAAAGTGATGACATATATGATGTTGATAGAGAAGCAGGTGTTATAATCTGTGTTATTTCATCCAATGATGATGAGACCTGTGTTGATGAGGGGGGACAGTTGGCATCTGGGTTCATTGCAAGGCCTAATAACTTGGTGAGAAGCTGAGAAAACAAGAGAAATCCAGAGAAGACAGAGGTAATGACAGCTTGATGGTAGCAACCTGAGGCTATGGAAAAGATTATATCTACCCCTCAGATTAAGGCTGTATGTGCCTTTTCCCATTTGTGTTTGCAATCTGGAAGCACTGGATACCCAACTGTTAATAGACAATCTTATAGCAGCAGGAATCAGAATGACATTTTCTTTGAACTGCCGCCTGGTTAAGAAGTTTTATTTCTTTGTGTTGTAGATTCTGCTACCATCACCTATACTTTTCACTCTAATTCTAGAGTGTTGCGAAGTCTTATACTCTTAAGACACACCTTAAAAATCACACACAGAAACTAGAGGCCATATAGATCTGCACTGAGAAACTAAGTTTCTGACTGGAGCTTATAAAAGTTAAGAAGAAGAAATTCCTACTTAGTTTCTTGTCCTTTTCCCACCATGTCAGATTGCTATAGCTGAAATTAGTAAAGACAAAAGTTAGAGCTTCTTAGCTATCAGAGAGGGTGAGAGCACATCTTACAAGCAGCATGTGATAACAGTAAGGAATTTTAGACTATGCTAAAGTGAGCATGTGCTGTGAGCAATTGCATATTAATGGTTAATACCCTTTTAATATGCACTGCTCAGAACTGTCACTAGGGGCACTTATACAATTGATTTGGGGGTGGGGGGGTGCGCATTAATTAGAATGACTCTTAGAGCAGCTCCAGGCTCCATCCTACCTTGTCTTTTCTTAGAGCATCTCTAATTAAAGTTCCCGCAGTGTCACATGTATTCAGCCTGTGCTTCAAAATGGCGGCGATGGCACTTTAAATAAAGCTCATTCAATAAGATTTAGTGAAAGTGCCCCCACTGCCATTTTGAAATGAGGGGAAGTTGAATACATGTGATTCAGATGCTGCTGGAGCATGCTAATTCACACTCTCCAGTAGATTTGCAGCAGATTTGATTAATTGAGCTAATTAGCGTGCATTGGAGCAGAGATCTGTCACAGGTATAGGTGATTGGAAGATAGCTAACGTAGCCCCCATCTTCAAAAAAGGGAAGAGAGAGGACCTGGGCAACTGTAGGCCTGTCAGTCTTGCCTCTTAGTCTGAAACTAAATTGATATACTCACAGTGCCCAGCTGGCCTGTGATATGCACCACAAGGGCTTCAGTGCTGGCAAGTAAGGGGTTGGGGGGATGGAGGAGGGGACTATGGGGGGGACCCCTGCTGGCTCTGCCCACTACCCCATCCCCCTCCAGCCTTGCCCTGGCTGATCGCTCGCCTTCCCCCCAAATCCCAGATACCTTTCCTGCCTGGCCTCATCCCTCCCACCCCCCCAATCCCTTTCCTGCATAGCCTCACCCCCTGCCTGCCCCTCCGGGGACCCTGATCTCTTTATTGCATGGCCCCAGTCCCCCCAGCCCCCTGAGGCCCCCAATCCCTGCCCCCCTCAGCATACCAATGGTACATAACAAAACAAAAAAAAGACCCCAGCACTTACCAGCAGTCCAGCTGCCATCAGGGTCACTGGGGCCCTGCCCACACAGCAAAGGGCAGAGTGACAGCCCCTGTTGTCCCAGCTCAGGCCCTTCTGCCCCCACCCACTGCCCTGTGCTACCTGGGGGACTCTGCCAGGAGGCCCCAGTGCCCCCAGAGCCCCTGCTTCTAAGGTAAGTAGAAGCTTTTTTTCCCCATTTTTTCTTTTTTTTTAATTTTTAAAGTGATGGTGCCTGGGGTTGGGGGGCTGGGGATGTAAGTGGGGGATGGGGCCAGGTGGGGCAGCCATTGGGGGGTCTGGGAGAGCAGA